GAAGCTGTCTTTGTATTAGTCTGCTCTGCTATGTATATTTGACCAGTTTTGATAAGATGACTGAGAGCACAAGAAACAACCTTGAAAATAAAACAGTCTGTGCTTTGTGTATGTGTTCTACCCCACCTCTGTGTACCTATTTGGAAATTGTCTATCTGTATTTTAACCAATCAGTTTAAAAAAAGCTATATGTATGACGCAGTTAGTGACGTATGTTAGATTATGATTGTTATTGATTTGAGATTGTATAAGCAGAGCAGCCTACGAACTGAGTACTAAAGCGGCTTCTGCAGATGAAACTGTAAATTATCTTCAGTAAACGTTCTTTAAATGAATCTCTGACTCCAGGTCTTCTTAATCTGACACAGTGGTCATTTTTGGTTTAAAACTGTAATTTCCCCGACATTTTGTTTTGTAATATGTATGAAAATAACACAAGAGACTGTCTGACTTCAAGAATTCCCGCCTCCAGATCCTTTAACCCAGATCACATGACAGCAACTACTTGAATGCCCAAAAACTTGTAAACAAAAAGGTTGTCATTTTGGTAGAAGATTTACTGTCAAAGTAGAAATTACTTTAAAAGACGGGAGAAAATTATTCAGAGCATAATAATAAAGGCTATTTCTTGATATTCGTTTATGTGATCTGGTCACATCCATCGCCAAAAGTACTGATCCAATTCATTTTCACATATCTTGTAAAATATAGCTAAAATGTGTTTTTGATTCATCTCTTCAGGCCGGTATATGATTCTGACAGTATGATAATCTTGGATAAAAATATCAAGGTTTTACAGTATTGTGATTACTGCTCTAAAATAACTTCTTTTTAAAGGTCTGGGTAAAAACGAAAACTTTTTCCCCTTTGAACACAATATGTATTCATTCTGAAAAAAACATTTAAAAATTTTTAAACAGTAAACATGTCAGGCTAAATTAATCATTGACTTGTGCTGTCTTCATTAGTTTCAAAAACAGATTTCTTTACAACTTAAAATAGGCATCTTTGGATATTTTTTCTACTGCAGATACTGTTGTCATAAAAAACTAAGAAACACATTTAAAAAAATGTTACATATAATTGTTTGGTGGTTTTAAAACCTTGACTTTTTCAAACCGGGGTATACCTTGAAACCCGTTATGGCCCATGCCTAATGGTAGGTTCATAGTTTGGTTGACAGGTTGACATCTATTGCATTCTTTAGAAACAGCCGTAATGGAAGTTGGTGTCATGGTCTTGTTCTGTTCAAGTGAGTATGCACAATAGCTAGAACAATCTAATGAATGTATTTTTTATTTTATTTTTTGTCATGGTTTTAACTTTTAGAAGCAAAATCAAATATACTGTTAAACTTTACATGTTTCCCACAGATGGGTTGCAGCTGGAAGGGCATCTGCTGCGTGAAATATATGCAGGATATGAATGAATGTTAAATTTTACTGGTATAGTATGCTAAAAACACACAGTAGACGAAGTGGATCAAAAAAAGATTTTCAAAATTGAATGGGGATTGTTCAATAGTTTTAAGACAACTTTTATAGATGGCTTTAATCGTTGACTACTATATGTATATTTGAGCAATATCACACCAGCATCAGTGTGACATGATTGTATATTACTAGCACTGCAGTGATGAATGCGTACTGTGACATTGCGTTTAGACAAAAGATCGACGGAAAAGTAGTGTAAATAAAAATAAAAAAAACACGGAGAGTCCGAAAAACTCTTATGTGAGGGAACTTTCTTACACTTTATTTTACTATCCACTATAGCAGACCTCCTAAACAAGGAAAGCTGTAGCTAATTTAAAAACGTCATTATAAACTAGTATGTGAATATTTTCCCTTGCATGATTTAGAGTATTAAGTGATGACAAAACAGAGGATCTTGCTCACATATCAAGATTAAAAGGCCGAAAGGCGTAAATCAACATCCTGTATTTCTGTCACATCCAAGTATTCACAAACAATAACCCCATAAAGGTCAAGCCAAAACAAACCCTACAACATTACTATAGTATAAATAAAGAAATACAACATATTAAAGAAAGAAGTCGGCTTAAAGTGTGATTTACCTGTTCTGTAACGTGTTTTAGCAGATATTAATATAAAATATTCTTACAGGAAACGCGTTTGCTCCTTTAGCCTGAAAGGCTGATTGCCACCTAACGGTGAAATAATGTAACGTCAGCCGTTAATAACATTTTATGAGGTGGTTTATAAAACAAAGCAATTTTAATAATTAGCCTGCTACTTCAATTGAAATCAAATGTCATTTACTGAACAGTAACATTTAACAAACAACAATATAAAGTGTTCATGGAGCTTCATGTGCTTACAGTTGATACAATGAAGTCACATTTTTTTACAATATTTTTGGTTATTTTTCTGGATGTAGGGTCTTGAAACGACATTAAAGCGAGTAATAATAATTATATATATATATATATGTATATATAATTTTGATTCTGGGGGGAACTAATCCTTTGATATGGTGTTATTGCTTGTAAAAGTACACTTCTCACTCTGATTGTAATGAAAATAAATGCAAATTGCAGTTTCTCAAATATAAGTGTCTCACTATACAAAGCAAGATGTAAACAGACTGTAAAACCATTCTTATGCATTCAATGTGCTGCAACAATCTGCAGTGGAATGGTTTTATGAACTGTATGCCCTGCCATTTCTTCTGCATGAATGTGAACTATTGGCTGCATTTTATATAGCTGGAGCATCATAACTGCACAGAAGGCCTGGCCTGATAGCACATGACTCAAGCTCAATCTTTTTTTCCACCGTGCCGACACAATTTGTCCTGCTATGGACCGTTGCCTTAATCTGTGGAGAAACATGACAAAATGATTGGGGGAAAACAGCTCAGTGGAAAATCTCTGCATCTGCAAAAGCGATCTGTGGAATTGCATGGAGTAAATGGCAGCAAGTTTGAAACTTGTCATTGAATGTCAAAATCCCACCTTCTTTTTTAACCAGCTGCCGCAAGGGATAAGCACACAGTGGAAGAAATGTCAAAAAAATGTCATCTGGAACTTTTCATGTAAATAGACAGATAAGCTTCAATTTGTTTCTTGGCTTTTTCAGAAAAAAATCAAAGACTTATTGATGCATGTTTCTTTATAGGAAAAAATGTCACTAAAATATGCTAAAAAATACTACTTATCAAAGAAGGACGCAGTAGGCAAGGTGATTTTTTTTTCACTTCTGTATCTTTTATGATATACAGTGCTTGGCTTAAATGAGTACACCCCTCATCAATCTTTTAAATTTATACTTTTTATAGGAAGCTATACAATATTATATTTGTGCATATACATTGGATTAGTCAATACTACAGCCGAATCTGGAGCTTATCTAACATAATAACTTACAATAACACTACAAAAACTGGTACACCCCAATTTATTTGTTATATTAAAATATTCAATACAAAATTTAAAAAAGGAAAAATCCAGTGTAAAAAAAAAAAAAACATTGTCGAAATTTTGTAGGTTGTGATTCTTTTGCATTATTTTGCTTGAATTTAATTGTAATATCTTTCAATTTCTAAATATGTTTGGTGAAAAATATTATTTTAATAAAAATGTCTATTTAATGAATCTGTTTGGTTTAAATGCCTATATTCACTGAGAAATAGCTAAAAATGGGGTGTACGTTATGCTTAGCACTGTCTCATGTTTGCTGAAAGTTTAAAGCAGTGAAGAGCTGAATAAAAAAACAACAATAAAAAAATATTAATTATCATTATTACAGTTATTATTTAAAAAAATTGTATAATTAATTAAATTAATAACAATGAAGCTTAATATTAATAACAACTTAATTTTTAAAAAGTGTCTTTAAAAGTAGCAATTTAGGGCACTTTACAGACATAAAATGTGCATCAGAACACAAAAAATTTAATAACAGAAAACAGTATGAAATAGTGAAAAGCTGAATGAAAATACATTATGAGTATTGTTGTTTATATTGTAGTATTTCTATTATTAATTTATTTAACAATTAATAATTATTTTACAATTATTATTTTAATAATAAAGTTTTTATTGTTGTTATTATAAAAAGTTATCTCAAATTATCTTATTATAAAAGTATTATCTTGAAATATTATAAACTACTACGTCTTGAATAGGGAAAGTTTGAAGCAATGAAAATTTTCATTGAAAAAAAATATTTTTTAAAATATCTATTTTAATTGGAGGAAAAATTATAAGCACAAAACCTGAAAAAAATATTGTAATTCTTTTTACAATATTTTTGCCTAAATTTAATTGTTTTATCTTTCAATTTCTAAATATGTTCGGTGACTAAAATAGTATTTTAATAAATATATATGTTTAATAAATCTGCTTTGTTTAAATGCACTAAAATGCATTGCCTATATTCACTGAGAAATGGAGTAAAATATTCATTTTCAAAATGGGCTGTACTCAATTATGCTAAGCACTGTATATGGAGGCAGTAAAAATGGGTTAACTTGAAACTGTATTACTGCTTCAATCAACTTGTTGAACCAAAATTGTCATCCCCTTTTTGATAGTCCAAGCGTGTGCAAGCTCTTTTAGGTCAAGATTAATTCAGTACAGGTGTTACAGGGAACGATTCAGGGAAATTGTTTTTACCAACTGTGATCAGATTGTATAACCAAAGTCATACTAGATGAATTATGTTGTAACTATAACTGTAATAGCATTAATACTGTAGATATGGACTAGTGTCTACTCATTGTCTACTCATTGTTTGAAACTGGGGTGTGCCATATGAATGAAATTGTATTAATATTATAGACTTTTTATATATGTAATTTATTTTATTTATCTTATAGTATGGAAAGCTCTGCTGTGACATGTAAATATCCCTTTGGGTATTTATTTAATTAATAATAATAATAATAATAAGTTGCATTAAAAGTAGAAATTGCACTTTCAAAACAATGTTTATATAAAAAATAACAAAGTGGAAAATATATCAGGGAAAGGTGAGTTGGGTTTTTCTTTTATTGTTCATTTATGACAGTGTTGTGACAATAAATTCACAAACTGTACCACAGCAAGGCTTATTAGGTAAGTGCAAAGTTTAATCTTGAAACATGGTGTCTCCAGAGATGTTATTGAAGGAACTGTTCACTTAAAAATTAACATTCACTCATCCTCAAGTTGCTCCAACCATTTATGACTTTCTTTTTTATTCTGGTGAACTCAAATGAAGATATTTTGAAGAATATTCAAAGTAGAGAGCCACTGACATCCCTAGTAGAACAAACATAATATGGAAGTCGATGGTTACCAATTTCTAACTTCTTCATTTTTGTCCAACAACAAAAAAAGAAACTCAAGCGTGTTTAAAACAAGTGGAGCTTAAAAAAATTAGGAGAATTTGAATTTTTGGGTGAATGATCCCTTTAAAACACAATTACATGCTTTAATCTGTTATAAAGCAGTAAGTGTCATTGAATCTTGAGGATATTTTAACTGTGTGTTACAGTTTAGAGATCATCTGATGACTGGACACCGGTCGGCCCCAGATTCTGAGTCTGCTGATGCCTCCATCAGGAGCAATGACCATCCGCACATGAGACACAGGCCCACAATGCACCAGTGATGGCCCAGAAAACACATGCCTGTGGTGGGCCTTCATCTAAAACAGATAAATCATCTTCACAATTACAGAGAACTGACATGAGTCAAGTTGAAGACAAAGTCAAGAGAAGTTACAGGACAGGCAGTTCTTACTTTTTGAGGAGGAAGTAGAATATTCCACATGGGGCTCCTGTCTGAGCTCCACTGACTCTGAATGAAGCTGTTTTCCTCATCCTCTGTCAAACTACAAGCCTCAATCCTGCAGGAGTCTGGGAAATTGCCTAAGGACAGTGGTTGTTTAAAAAAAAAAACAAAAAAAAAAAAACATTTTAAACAAGAGTAAAAAAGTCTTGGCAAAGTCTTCTTGCAATATACCAAGGAATACATCTTCAGACTTCTTTTTATTTTAGAAATTTGAATTTGACGCTAACAGACACTCTGTTACATACAGATTTATGCACATTTGCACACACCCTAGTCATATATTGTGTAGATCTAAGTGTTCTTAATGCAGATTAGTTGGCTTGTCCAACCACCTGTAGAAAACACTCTTTCCTCTCTGCACCAGGCACTTTATTAGAAACACTTCTTTGTTTTCTATGTTTGCTTGTGTAGCTAAGATGTTTTCTATTGACATTATTCTTCAATGTGCACTGTAAAAAACAACCTATAGAATCTACTCAATAAAACTGAGGTAAGAATTTGCACTTACTTTGTTTGGGTAGATTATAAACTATATATTTATATAAAGAATACCTCAATTTAACAGCTCTGACAAACTGCAAAAAATTAGGTACGGTCTACCTAATATTTTACATTAGATTACATAAATTATTACTTATAATAATTGAGTAACATGAACTCTATGTTAGTAAGCAACAGTCCATCTACTAATTTACTATTATTAATTATTACCCAATAAGAATAATCAAAAATAATTTTTTCATTAAAGGTTGAATTTACTTAAAAATTGTCAGAAGCAGGAGATTGCATCAATTGCTTTTTTATTGACAAAACATTTTTTAAAAACATTTTAAAAATGTAATAAAAAAATGAAAGTACAAAAAAAATGCAAGTACAATAAAGGTACGTTTTTACCAAAAAGTACGTACAAAACACCTTAGCATGAATTTCAGAAGAAATACATTACATAAAGCATTAAACATTCCATATTATGTTTTCCACCCATCTGAACACATTCCAAAATTAAAACTTCAGTGTTTAGATACGTGTGCAACACTTGCAACACAAATGAAAGGAGTCACTGAAATGAGAATAAAAAAAATACAAAAAAAAAAAAACTAAATGAAAAAAATCTCCTTTACCTCAACAGAATGCCATGCCAACATTTCACCAACTTTTATTTTAAACCAAAACAAAAAAATGCTCTTAGATTCAATTTTTAGGAAAATACAACTTCATATAACTTGCATTGCATGCAACTTCTTAAACATTTTGAAAAACATTTGAAAAAACACTAATTAGGTACAAGTGCATTAAATTTTCCCCAACACAACGTCATAAAACATTTTACAAAACTGTAATTGGAACACAATACTATTTACATATAGAACAGTGTCTTTACTGGATGAAGCCAGCTCATTCCAGTAGCTTACACCTGAGGCTTTGGATCTTTTTTAGCAGCTTCATTCCATCAAGTTCCAAAAACAGTTTCTGGAACACTTCAAAAGTGTACTTGAGGTTTTTGGCATATTGAAGGTTGAGTGCATAGATAAGTCCCATCAGTAATGTGCATGCTGTGGTTATGTTCCCACAACCGTTCAGCACTCTGCTGCCCTCTATGACGACACACACATCCACTGGGTCCACCTCAGCTGTGGGGTTTTTAATCACTACCAATTTCATTATGTGATTTGTGTGGCCTTCAAGTTCATTCTCCTGTTAAAAAGAAAAAAAAAAGCATTTTTCAGCACTGAACTGAACTAAATCATCGAGAGCATGTTTTAAATGAAGCAAAAGGCCGTCGCTTGGCGCATTCGCTGTTAAATCATTAGCAATGATTGTATTATCCACAGTACTACAGCCGTAAAAATAGTGATCACGTTTAACTAATCTTGCGTTGAGAGAGATTAGGACCGCCTACCTCATTAACATATGTACACAGAAATAAATAAATGTAGAAATGCAGAAATAAATGTAAAAATAAATAAATATAGAAATACAAATAAATGTAGAAATAAACGTAGCATAACACAAATGGTACCAAAATAGCTAAATTAAAAATCACACTTTAACACAAAATTATTAATTTATGTGTTTCTACATTTATTTATTTCATCATTGAATTAATTTATTTATATATACATTTATCTATTTATACATTTATTTATTTATGTATTTCTACATGCATTTATTTATTAATTTATGTATTTTTACATTTATTTATTTCTGCACTTATTCATTTATTTATTTATACTTAGGTAATTTCTGGTCCTCCATATCCGTCCGCATGAACCTTTGTGAAATGTAACCCATACATTAGAGCACTTTCTGTTAGCCATTGCCTTAGCACAGATGTGTTCGCAGATTCCCACATTACATGGGAGTGAGTAAATTATCGTGACCTTTTTATGAATGTGGAGTAATTCTTTAAGCATAATGTTCAATAAGGAAAATTAAACTATGTGTAATCATTTGAATACCTTGAAACTAGGGCTACACGATTTTGAGAAAAAAACCTAATTGCGGTTTTTCTGATAAATATTGTGATTGCAATGCAATTTTCGATTTTGAAGATGCTGGTATAGATTGGTAGTGTTTCCTCTGGATCTGGCCACGGGATGTCGATTTTACATTTAGTACACTTTTGCTTCACGTCGTTCTTCGCGAATCCAAAATAAGTTCAAACTGCTGAAGCATTCACACAAGTGAAGCGTATATCATGTTGTTCTCGAGTGCCATTAAAGATTCATTCAACATGAATGAATCATTTGAGAACGACCATAACCTCAAGTTCAAACACTGGAGTGGAGTAGCTTCGCTGTTTATAAATTTCAGACATTGACAATGATGAAAACTACTATAATTAAGTGATATAGATGTTTATTCACATTAGCAGGTGCGAGTACTGGGCAATTAAAATTTAAATGCTAATTTGACTTACCACAAATTCTAAAATGTGAATCTGTCACTGTGGTGTCGACAACAAAGAGAAGCGCGCAAATTATAATCTTCTGGTTGATTTTAACGTTCCACAACTTAACATTTGCATTCAATATATCAACAAGTCAAATAAAACTTACCTGTAATTCAATTGCCGTTCCACCACGTTGGCAATGACATGGAAAATGGCGACCCCACGATTCCCTCCTGGATGTTGACGCATGCTCAATTAACCAAAGCAAATATTTAAGAGTATACTTTACTCATTTTTTAAGTGTTGCATTTTTTTACTGTTAAAAAATAGATACTGTAGGTAAAATGTACCCATTATGTTGCATTTTAGATGCTAACTCATAAACTTAATTAAACTTTACCTGATTTTCTTGGGTGGTATTTAACACCCCCTTGAGTAATTTTTTACAGTGTGGAAGTGTGCTTCTTTGTGCGATCGTTTTAGAACTTCTGATTCAGTTGGCTATATATGGGAGAAATGACTAGGAATAATAAACAGCAGAAAACGAGAAAACGGTCAAACTACTTGCTCAACAAACAAGTGTTTGCATGACTATGCGAACAAAGTAGAATAATATAATAAGAAAATGTCCATTTTCAACATGAGGCAGCAAAATGAGCTGTTTTTAACATCTAAAAATGAATAGAAGTGGATGAGACCGGAAGTCCCAAGCCAAAAAGAGAATAAGCTACTGTCCATTCTTCATATCTAAAGATTTAAATATTTAATATTTAGTCTTACTTTCTATAGCTATAACATCTATTTCTATATCTAAATTTTCTGTGTTTTTACTTCTTATTATACTCCATTATTTAGATTCTTATTGATATTAGTTTTGTTTTTACGTTTTTTTTAAAGGTTATTATGGGCGGTTGTATAGGCATTCCACTGCATATCACACTGTATGACTGTGTATGTGACAAATCAAATTTTAATTCTAAATAAAAAGCTGTAAACTGCCTCAGTTGCAGTTAAAAGAAAAGTTGGCACACATACGTAAAAATCTAGAAACAAATTATTCTCTACACAAAAATCTATAGACTTTTACTTGATTCCAAAGTGCTGTTTTTTTAACAGGTCGTTTATCTCTTTAAAATTCTCAGATCCTCTGAATTTGTGGGTTTAAATAAAATGTTAAAAATTGTTTTACTGTTTACCAAAAAAAATTCTTCCAAATTTCAAATAAGAATGTTGTCATATTTAGACCGTTGATTTAGAAAATGACAATTGGTGAAAATAACAAATTTTTATTATAGTAGAAAAACAGGGTTATTCCCTCAAATGTGGATTTCTTAACCCTTCTGAGCTGAAAACATTGGTATTGTGTACATTATATAAGCACGTTTGATACCTTTATATTTACTGCCACAAAATTCTCTAAATGTCAGCACTTTTTTGAAAAAAATGTCTCTTATGTTTAACACAATTGAATGTTTACATCCAAGCATAATTGTAAAGTGCTCAGCATATGAGTACACCCCTCATCAATCTTTGAAATTCATATTTTAATATGAAGCTATGCAATATTATATTTGTGCATATACATTAGATTAGTCAGTATTAAAGCAAAATCTGGAGCTTATCTAACAAAATAACTTACGATAACGGTCCAAAAACCAGTACATCCAAATTTAAATAAAAAAATATTAAATACAAATTTAAAACAGAGGAAAAAACAAGAAAAGAAATTAGTTTTTTTAATTTAGTTGAAATATTATGGGTTAAATTTTTTATTTTTTTATTTTTGAATTCATAAATTTAATTGTTTTATCGTTCTACTTCTAAATATGTTTGGTGACTAAAATATTATTTTAATAAATATCTGTGAAATAAATCTGTTTTGTTTAAATGCACCAAAATACATTGCCTATATTCACTGAGAAATGGATGACGATATTCATTTTCAAAATAGGCTGTACTCACTTATGCTGAGCACTATACGTACAATATATAAAACGTTTTATTACCTTTAAAATGGTTGGTGTCCAGCTCAATTTTACTTATAATGCCAGGATGGCCTAATCTGAAAATGGCCCACTCACTCCCTGGCACTTGCAATATGCCGTTCTCATCCTCCTGAAAAACAAAAGAGGATGGGATGGTTTAATCGATCTCTGTGATGTTTCCTAAAATGATAAGAGTGCTTTTACCTTTAAAACTCTGGGCCGATCAAGACGTCTGGCCGTCTCCCACCCATCACCCATGTTTTCAGCCATTCCCAGACCTACAGAAATGCATACATTTACACAATCACAAAATGCTGATCAAGACCTCATGAAAATCTCTCATGCTACTTTATTATCTTCTACAAAGAGTTATCTACTAGACCATAACTAATTTATTGGGTAGAGGATTTAGGTTGTCCCATCTCAGGATGTTATTAAAGATGAAGTCTGGGAAACAGTCCAAACAGTTTTTATGATACGCCTGATTGAAAGCATAGATTGTTGTCTGTAAAGCAGTCTGCATCGTGGATGATTTTCTTGGCTCAGTTGAATAAAATGTAATAAAATATAATGCCTTTCTGAGATGTTTTCTAAAATTTGAGTGCAAAGGAATTGCTCACCAATCATATTGCGTGGGTGCCCATAGTGGGCATCGCTGAAGCCAACACATACGCCACCATTGACCAAGGCTACGAGATCCACCAAGTCTTGACCAAACACACTGGACCAGTCCTTCTTCCCAATGCCATAAACCTTTAGTCTTGCAATGCCACCATCTGCCAACATTGAGCAGATCTTTAAAGTTGAAGTGTATAATTTTTACGTTGGCTGCTTTTTTATAAACATGACAATAAAATCTATGAATATTTATTAATAAAAAGTTTGTTATATATATTTTTATATATATATAAGTTTTTATATATATATTTGACACTTTGTTGTGTAATATTCGCTTCCCAATCTGAATTTAAAAACTAGTTTAAAACCCTAATCACAAACAACTTCACAAAAATATCACACACTATATATATATATATATATAGTTTTTTTTTTTGTTTTTTTTTTTAAGATTTCCAGGACATAGACTATATGGAATAGCCTATATATATATATATATATATATATATATATGTATATTATTATTATTATTATTATTATTATTAATTATTAGTTTTTTTTTGTGTAATATTCGCTTCCCAATCTGAATTTAAAAACTAGTTTAAAACCCTAATCACAAACAACTTCACAAAAATGTCACACACAACTTCAGAAAATGTAGGTGTCATTAGAGGCAGGAAACACACTCTCATGAGTTTTGGAAAATGGAATTATTTATGTGATTTGTATGACTCTCTTTATGAATCAGAAATGAAGTCCTTGTGGCAGTCTGATCAATCAGATATATTACATAGTGGACATTGTGCGCATGCTTTCTGTGAGATTTAGGGGTGGGGCAAGTGAAGACATTCCCACATAGCAAAATATTTCTGGCCCAGCTCTGGCCCACACAATCAGCCTTTTCTTTGCCTCATATGCCGCAGTGAATTACAGTACATGACTGGACCAGGTCTAGCTTCCAGACAAGGGCCAAACACAGACCATATCTGGGCCAAGTCTCAGCCAAATTAATAACCCATAACTGAGCCTGAACTGGGCCAGATATGTTATTGTGTCATGAAAACAATGACATTAATAAACCTACTGTATGAATCATTGCGATTTAGGTGTGCTATGGGTGTGCTTTTTCTCAAAGCGACCTGATTGTTAGAATTTCTTTTCCTTATTTGAAAATTAAAAAAGACAATTTTAAATGTGGGTCAAGATAGGCCAAACTTACATGGCACACAAATCAATTGATAACATCTGTGCCAAATACTACATTTTACATCAGGCCCAAGTATTGTGTGCCCCCTTAAAGACCGTGCCACCTCTGCCAAACCAGGACCATGTTTGGCCCACATGCTGTATGCTAGTGCCGGATAAATGCCTACTGTGCCAGATTTATGCCAAATCTAGGCCAGAATTCTTTGCTATCTGGGTTAATAACTGTGAGGGGTATGTTTTGGAGTGGAGTAGGTGAAGATGTTAATAACACACAATGTAATGGGGTATTGAATAAATACTACAAATAATTCTAATTTCTAGAATCAACAGTTTGCATATGCTACAACGTCCACTACGGATTGGAAAGTACATCATTGGACTACACAGCCGATTAAGCAGAGCTCCATTTTGTCAACAACATCTCATTTTGGCATCCTGTGTTGTTCAATAGGATCTCTGATCTCAAGTTTCGCTTCTACTACAAGTTACACCTTCTCTTGCAGTCTGCAGACAGACCCTACTCGTCCTCACTTTCAATAAGCGATCTGTCAAACTTTCAGTTCAGTTAGCTGTGAAGTGTAGTGTATGGAAAAAAATAGAGCAACCAGCTATCCAATGCAAATTTTAATTGGTTTTGCTCTTTGGGTGGCTCACCATCTTTTTCGCTCCTCATAGTGTGTCCCATGCCGCTATGCAAAAGCAAGGACTAATCAATACATTTAAAGACACTGACAAGAGCTCGAACATCTGATGAAGTCACAAAACCTGGCCTGCAGGTACACATACAGCACAATAATTTTACTTATAATAAAATAACAGACGCCACAAAAGCACAAGCACAAAGTGCCTTGAAATCAGAAGGAATCGATGCACTTCACAGCTTTTAGACACGATATAAATGAAACAGGCCCCTAATAAAATATATTTAAATACATTTAAAAGTAATATTTGTATTAACATAGAAATAAACTCAACTCCTTAAAATAAAGTAAATTAACTATGTGCATAATAATAAAAGTTAATCAACTTACACCCGGTTTACTTTCTTTATTAAGTAGTCATCTTGTTGCTAATAAGGCAACAGTTTACTTTTTAGGTTAGGGAACTATGCTTTCTTACAGTGAACTCTCCTTGCTAAAAAAAGAAACTATATCACAGACATCACGTTGATTTCCATTACAAATACCAGTAGAAACCTTACAAACTATCTAATTTTAAGCAGTAAAACCAGTTTATTTAAATGGTTTCTTGTATATTTAATGGTTTTAACATGCCACCAAAGCAAACCTTTTTAAAATACCAGTAGCGAACCACAGGACTATTATAGTTCCATCAAAATCAATATAATTCCCATTATAACCGTTAAGACAATTACAAATTTGATGATGGTTTCTATTGGGGCAGCTGCGGTCAAATAGTTAAAGAGTTGGACTTGTGAACACAAGGTCGCAGGTTCAAGTCCAAGGCACCAGTAGGGATTGTATGTGAATAACAGCGCTCACAACCCCCAACCAGGCCACTGCACACTAGGTTTGTTTTCACTGCTGCAGTTGGATAGATCAGATTTAGAACACAAATTCCAAGTACTGGTCACCACATGTCATGGTTTTCTTACTTTGGGGGGGTTTGTTCGTAGTTTTTTAGTTTGGTTTTTCAGCAGAACATACAGATGACATTGTAAAATGTGATTAGTTACATGATTAACGCATTGTAACTTGGAACTGTTAAGTTGACTTTCATGCACATAGTTTATTTGTTTATTCATTTTAAGGCAATGGGTTTACTAACTTTAAGTAAAGTCAATTAATTGCTTATTACAGTGCATTTATCCTAAAACCTCCAGCAAGTCAAACCATACTGGAGACATGCTAATACATGCTAGTATTGAGTTACACAAACCGTGTTGTTTTCTGAGACATTTATCATTCCATGATACATATGTTTCCAAAAATGTAAGCTGTAAGTACACTTAGTTGTATGTGTGTGAAACAGTCGCCAATGCATACATCAGTGACTGAAGTGTTCAGAGAGTAAAAGAATAGTGTTTCTGTTTTTCCTTGCTGAGTGCTCCAGAGGTTAAAGGTGACAGTTTTCTCTGGATCTGGCTTTGGGTCGGACTTGGACCAAGAAAATCCCTACCACTGAGTCCATGAATACAAAACACACCAAACAAAGAGAGAAAGCTAAAGAAACAAGTAGATGCATTACTAAAGGAATCACAAACCCTGTGCCATAATCATTTTTATCACTTGACTATTAAATTACTCACAGAAATGCTTTAGCGATAAATGCACACACACACACTGACATTTCAAGTGAACAAAAAAATATAAAAGCCACAACCAAATAAGTCCTAATTAGACTTCTGAGGTTCATTCATTCATTCATTTTCTTTTCAGCCTAGTCCCTTTATTACTCAGGGGTCACCACACCAGAATGAACCGCCAACTTATTCAGCATAAGTTTTATGCAGCGAATAAAAATCCAGCTGCAACCCAACACCGGGAAACACCCATACACTCTTACATTCACACATATACACTATGGCCAATTTAGCTTATTCAATTCACCTATAGCGTATATGTTTGGACTTTGGGGGGAAACCAGAGCACCTGGAGCAAACCCATGCCAACACAACGAGAACATGCAAACTCCACACAGAAATGCCAACTGACCCAGCAACCTTCTTGCTGTGAGGTGATTGTTCTACCCACTGCACCACAGTGCTGCCCCTTCTGAGGTGCATGAACTTACAATTAACAAATTGTCCTGTGAACTTTCATGATTAAATATGAAAATGTGAACTGAAAACTGAAGTCTTATCAAATAATCTCACTACTTCTTAGCAAACTATGCTATGAGGGGTTCATTTCGCATCTCTAAATTTTGTTTTCTTTTTCCATCAAAAAACTAATTGCTCTACCTTCTGATAAGCAATAACTGAAGATAGAGGTCATGTGTTTTACTCTATGTTTTCACTGCAGTTTACTGCAGTTTTATTCATTGTATATTTGGAAACACATTTAAAATAAAAAAGAATCAAAATAAAATTGATTGAAATTTGTGTGCTGATTATTGTTGGTAACAACAAAGTTAATATTTTGGAAACAAACTTTGTGGGGTGAATGAAAAGCCTATTGATTATTGAGGTTTCTAACAATGATAGAAACAATGAAAAATTTATATTTGAAAAATTCACGTTCTGTACAGCCATGTGGAATTGCAGAGAGCAATAATGAAAGTACCAATAATTCACTGTCTTTTATTTTGTTTTCTGCAATTCAGACATTTTTGGACATATCATACTTTTGACTTTGATAAAAATAACAAAATGCTTAAACCACTAAAACGTTTGCCCATGAGTTAATGCTACCAACTTGCTAAATGTGAAACATACTAGAAACGTCCTAGCAACAACATTCAACCTGTTTAGCTAATATGCTAAACAAGCTAGAAACAATACAAAAATGCTAACAAGGTAGACATTATTTATGTTAGCAACAGTCAACTACTGTACATGTCAAAACAATGATAGCATGCCATCAACATGTAAACCTAAATATATGTCAAGTAAGCATAGTGTTAATTCATTCATTCATTTTCTTGTCGGCTTAGTCCCTTTATTAATCCAGGGTCGCCACAGCGGAATGAACCGCCAGCATAGTGTTAAAACATGCTAAAATCTTCTCCCATATGCACCTTCGGCAAGGTAAGAGAAATAAGCGAATAAAACACCACATTAATTATGTAAAAAAACAGAAGCTGCTCTAGTTTTAAAGTGACATGAATAAAAACAAAAAATCATTAGACAAAATAAATGGCACTCTAAGATGCTGCTCTTCTGTAGCATCTCCTCACAGGCTTATTTTATTTTGTATTTTCATGATTGATCACATTCACGTTTTTGTGATTTCATTTATTTTTTGATTGCACACATGATTATTGCTACAGAAGGTGCTTTACCTGGATATATGTTGAAGCGGATATGGGTTACTCTGTGTGGGTAGGAGACACTCAGGTAGTTGTGGCATGTGTCAGAGTACCCCGCCTTCAGCTTTGTCACCGGGACAACTTCCTTCCAGCTGTCTGAGTTAAGCTGTTCAATATAAATTCAGACTGAGCACAGCTGCCACAGAAACACACTCTAGCCTTCATGCATGAAAATCTAGAGCACTGGATGATATTTAACACACCTGAGCCACAGCTTCAAACTGGCTTGGTGAAGCTGCCATGCCGGTACGATCTCCTTCAAGAGCGATCGATGGCATCTGATCTAATTTAGATGCGAGATATATTAGATCTAATTAAAGGGATAGTTCATGTAAAAATAAAAATTGTGCCATAATTTACTCACAATTTATTTTATATATGAGTTTGCTTCTTTTGTTCGAACACAAAAGAAGATATTTTGAAAAATGTTGGAAACCTGTAACCATTGATTTCTTGTTTTCCCTACAGGAGAAACCCAAATTTCTGTCAAACTTTCTTATAATCAACCCTAACTTTTAAAAAAAAGAATGAGTCCCAATTCCATAGAAAAAGTGAAAAATAACAAGTTAAGCGTTTTCTCCCCCATTGAAGTCCATTATAAGGAAAAGGATTAACATGGCTTAATGCAGTGTTTCTCAACCACGTTCCTAGAAGTCCACCCACACGGCATGTTTTGAATGTCTCCTTTGTCTGTCAAACCCATTACAGGTCTTTCAGTCTGTGCTAATGAGCAGATGATCTAAATCACGTATGTTTAGTTAAATAGACATTGAAAATGTGCAGAGCTGGTGGTCCTCCTGGAACATGGTTGAGGAAGACTGGCTTAATGAAGTTTAACAACAAGCAGGGAATATCTAATTTCTATCAAATTTTACTCATGATGACAAACACTTTCTGATATCAAAAGAATAAGCTCTAATTTTAGTGAGTGTAAATTATCACGTTATGCGTTTTTCCCTATTCAAGTTTATTATAATTGTTTAACATGGCTTAACATACTTCAACAAGTGGGGCACTTCAAAAATCTATGAAATTTTACTTGTAATTAACACTAATACTTTCAAGCCCTGATTCTGTGGATGAAGTGAACAGTGTCACGTTATCCCAATTGAATTCTATTATAAGAGCTTAATGTGGTTTAACTTAACAACATCCAGAGACAAACAAGTTTCTATAAAAATCTACTTCTTAAAAAAACAAGCTTTTATTTTAGTATATCAAGTGTACAATATCACTTTAAGCATTCTCCCTAAAAGTCTTTTATAAGGAAACCTACCTTACGTACCTTAACAGTGACCAGAAAAACCCAAATTTCTGTCAAAATTTACTTGTGATTAAAACTTTTGTTGAAAGAATGGGCCCCAAGTAGATAAAGTGAACAACATCATGTTAAGCAGTTTCTCCCCCATTGAAATCCATAATAAGAAAAGGCTTAACGTAACTTTACAACAACCAAAGGAAACCATTATTCAAAAGACTGTTCATAAAATCAATTATTAATTTATAATAGATTATAATATTTAGATTTTATAGATTTATAATAGACTTGCAGTCAAAAAATGTGCTTGTGCATCTTGACATCCTAATCACAAGTAAAATTTTATATAAATTAGATTTTCCCTGCTTGTTGTTAAGGTACATTAAGCCACGTTAAGTTTTTTCTCTTTACAATGGCTTTCAAAGGGGGAGAAAATGCTTAAGGTGATGTTTTTCACTTTACCTATGGAATTGGGACTCTTTTTTTATATAAAAGTTAGGGTTAATTAAAAGAAACGTCCACAGAAATTTGGGTTTCTCTGGTTGATGTTTAGACCACGAATGTCCCCAATGGTTGCGGGATTTCAGCTTTGTCCAAAATATCTTCTTTAGTTTTTAACAAAATAAAGAAACCCTACAAAGGCTGGGAAGCATTGAGTGAGCAAAAGCTACATTTTGGGGTGATTTTTCGGTCGGACTATCCCTTTAAGGTAATCTGTGAGGCCGTCTTCAGTATACCTACCAAGACACGTGGCTTGAATGGAGGCAAATGGGGCATAGTTCCCTGTAAAGAAGGATGTGTCCACATCAAATCCATGAATTATTCCTGGAACTCCTAACTGCACAATGCACCAGTCATGACCTTTAAATGCAAGACATATACATCTTTCATGAGATCACCAAATCAGTTGTAAGAACAGACAGAGCACTATTTGGGATTACAAAACATGCCCTGAAAGCTTGATCAGACGAGGAAGCGTCTTAATATTGCGATACATCTTTCTTACATGCGTTCTTTGTACAGATGTTCAGAGAGGCTGGATGGATGAGAGAAGGAACTAGCCTGCAGCTATTCTGCTCTAACTCATTCAGGCTCAGTGGAGCTGGAGCTCATTAGAGAGAAATGAGGAACACACAGAGACCTATTTCACACTTTTAGAGGCGAACACTCGGCTTTGATTTGTGAAACTAATACCTGGAATTCTTTTTCTCCTGGTTTCCCAGCCATCCATCCATTTCCCGAATTCAGTAAATGCAGAGGCTATGAATTCAGGAGGATCTCTCTTCGGGTAAACAACATATTTTAATGACAGATAATACTCTAAAAACATGAATATTACTAGATAAGCATTTTACCTTCAAAAGATTTCTAGCAGGGGCAAACCATTCATCTGTGGCAAATATCACCTTTAAAAAAGACAATGTTAGTAGGCTACTTTTTTTATTTCAGTCACCAAAGACAAAAATATCAGCACATTTTAAATCTTGGTAACACTTTACAATAAGATTATATTAATGCATTTACTCACATAAATAACCAACATTATGTACACATCTTTGTTAGCGTAAATGAAAATACAGTAATTAAGTTTGTTAATGCTAACTCACAGTGGATGGGACATTCTACCAGAAACGTACATTTCCACTAATAAAAAAATGAGACAGGGCCTGACTTAAGCTTGTCGTAATCAAAAATAATAATAATAAAAATACATAAACAAGCATAACATCATATAATTCAATGATAGAACGCATTGTTACTTTCTAGTCATAACGTGTATTGCACACATTAATGCAAATTTGACAGGACTGATAGAAACATATGGCCAATTGTAAATTTATTTGTATTATAAACTTGTAGTATTTATTTGTAGAATATATTTATAATGTCATGCTTTTAATCAATTGATGTAAATGATAACAACTTAAACTTGCTATTTCTGAAGTCTTTTTATTTTTAAATAGCAGTTTAAAACTAATAGCTGCAGGTTCAATTGGGCTGTGGACAAGGGCAATAACAGGGTTTGTACATTTGTAAAGTGTTTTTTAATAAAGAAATTTGAGAAGCAAATGAATGACATATTCTTTTACAGAACTGAACCAACCAGAAATCAACCAACCATCTCATTTTAGAAATAAAATACTTTTAATTCACTGTATTTGTTTTTATTTCAGGGACAGACAATATACTTTTTTTGGGTAGAAATAGGCTATTTAAAACTACTTTTAACTAATGTAATAAATTATTCATTCTTAGTAAATACATTAAAAGGATACTTCAACCAGAAAGTTTTTTTTTCATTCTTTACTCGAGTTTCTTTGTTCTGTTGAACAAAAATGACGTTAATTTGAAAAACTGATAACCTGTAACTTGACTTGCTTCGTGTTCAACAAAACAAAAAATAAATTAAAACAGGTTGAAACAAAGGCGAGTAAATGAAAACCATTTTTTTTGGATGAAATATCCCGTAAAATAACGGGACATTAATGTAAACTGCGACCAAAATCTTAAATAAGGCAACAGATATTAAACGTTTCTTTTTACCTTTCCTCCAGCTGTTTCGCACGCGAGGTTGTTGAACTGTAAGAAATGTGGTTGACTCCTGGTCTCCTTCTGCACCTGTCGTTTTGCCATGATTATAGTGATTTAATATTTTCTTGCTTGATTTTAATTCAGCTCTCGTTTAATATTATAAGCACCCAAGCAGCCAGATGAAGATCTGAGATGTAACAGGCTGACAAACTATGATCTTTAACTACCCACTCCAAAACAAACTGTTTAACAGAGCAAAGTCCTTTATCGTTATCAACACCAGTCATAATATTATTATAGCCTGGTACAGAATGAACTGTCTTTTCCATCATTCAAACAGGGCTTGTTTCTAATAACGATTTGAATAATTTGTCGATCTTGTAAAACTTCTGCAAGATGTTTCATGGTATTCTTTTTTTCATGGTAGCAAAATATCACATTACTACCAAAAACAGCTCTGCAGAAAAGCAGCGCCCTCTGTTGAGCTGTAACTCGTTTTGAATTTCTTTTTTAATTAAAAAAAACATACCCACGCATTAAAGGCTATCAAGTCCAAAAACCAACTAGTAACTGCTAGCAGAATTTACATCTTATTTTTATCTGATTACCTCTAATTCCAGTATATTGATTTATAAATTAATATAGAGTCTGATATAAATGATTTAAAACCAATCTTTACCCCAGCTGGCCTGCCCTTATTCATACCATTTGCCGTGGATTACAGGTCTTATGATCTGGGTAAATGACATAAGAGAATTACTAAAAATTAACAATTTACCAGTCATTGTGTCCTCATGACACATGGCTCTTTGAACCCCCATCACCATTGGGTTATTTATAGCTTTTATTGTGCAAGAGTAAACAAAACCCAAATACATAATTGTGCAGCTAATTAGGGCATACTCACACTATGTACAGTTGCCCTGAACCATTCCAAAGCACAATGGTCCCCCTTCCCAACTCCCCTGATGGCCCACTCACATTACATTCGGGCCTGGGAACTCTAACGTCATCGATAATGCACTTTCCAGCAAGCCCTCTCGCTCAGCACACAGTGGACATTACTTTAGTCGCTTGGGATGTAGTGACACGCAGTCAAATGAACAGATCTGCCTCTTTTGACGCTCAAAAGTCCTCATGCTGCAGTAATTAGGAGGTTTGAAGGAGGCTGAAGATGAAGCTATCGTGCAGTCAGGGGTTTAGGTGTTTAATAAACTATGACAGTTTGTATTCATTGAACAGTAAGAATGATTAATTAATCCACATGAAACAGCCCCTTAAAAAGCCACGTCTCACTTTCAGTTTCAGGCTCAGGCACTTTTTGCACTCCCACACACACACAAGCGTACTGCACCAAAGCCAAAGTGAACCACGCTCTGGCCCACCTGTTCCAACCAGGCCAGGCCAAGTGAACCGTGCCTGAGCCCGATTCAGAGCACTCACACCTCGAACGATGCGGGAAACGGGCCTGGGCACGGTTCAGATAGCATAGTGAGAGTACGCCCTTACAAAGTAGATCTACAATATGTAGATAATCATTACAACTTATCATTACGTTTGGTCAGCGTCTTCATGTTCATAAACAAATATAACTTTATATTTCCAAAAATTGAAAACAGACAAGAGGACGTGACAGTAAACAAATTTATTTTGTCATCTGCACTTTACAGTTGAAACTCTGGGAATTCAAATATCACATCCTTTCCTGTGAGCTTCTTGTAGACACCAGCGAATGTCTCAACCTAAAATAAGGCCAAACACACAAAAAAATTAGTTACTTATTTTAAAGACAAAAATATGTTGAAAAATATACACCGAACCTAATGCATGCAATCAATGCACTTAATAGTGCATTAAAAAAATTAAAGCCATCTGAGAATGACTGCACAGATTAAATAAAAATGGTCTTGGTGTAGCAGAAAATACTTCCAGTTTAATATTTAGTGTGCACTGCATGGTTTACCTCCCCAGTAATGGCCCAAAGGGCTCTGGGAAGATGTAGGAATATACAGGACGTAGTCCACACCAGCCAGAGGCCGGGGACAAGCTTGCTATCCAACGTCGTGGAACGGGACTGTACGTCACAACACCGAAGTGCTACGCTCCCATACGCCACATGGACAGAGCCACATGAGAGGCATCTCACGGGATGTCCACGTTGGTTTTCTTACTTTTTGGGTGGAGTGGGGGGATAAAACTCACTTTGTGTTCAACGTTGTTTTGCTGTGCCTTGTCAAGGTGGACCTTGATGAGCCTGCTGCTGTCCAGTTTCACGCGAATCCTTTTACCAACAATCTCGCTGGGAAAGACCAGGTCCTCAAGGATAGCGTCATGCACATTAGTCAGAGTTCGGCTGAAAGAAAAGCAACAGATTATGTGAAAGAGATCACCATTCATCTGCTCAGTGCATGGCAGCTAAGAGATCACCATTCATCTGCTCAGTGCATGGCAGCTTAACTTGTGAAACTCCCTAGATGCAAGTTTTGGTTGTGCACTGCATGGTTTACCTCCCCAGTAATGGCCCAAAGGGCTCTGGGAAGATGTAGGAATATACAGGACGCAGTCCACACCAGCCAGAGACCGGGGACAAGCTTGTTATCCAACGTCATGGAACGGGACTGTACGTCACAACACCGAAGTGCTACGCTCCCATACGCCACACGGACAGAGCCACATGAGAGGCATCTCACAGGATGTCCACGTTGGTTTTCAACAAGGTAACATGTCATTTAGAACACAATAAGCCAGTGGGTTTTCAATATCAATCCACAGGGGCCTCCGACCTGCCATTTATGCATCCCTTTCTTAACACCGGATTCAGATCATCAATTATTTAATAGATCCTTGTCAAAGAGGCATACAAAATGTGCAGGGTGGGGGCTCGAGGATTGAAAGAGAACCAATTTATTAGGCAAACTCGCATTAAAAGAGCAAGCATTACTAACCCTGACTGTGCAAAACAGCTTCCAAAATGCAACAAGACGACATTTACCTCCTGGGACGCTTCTGCTTGTTTTTTGTGCGGCTTTTCCTTGTGGGTTTAGGCAGGATTCTTCTCTGAAAGACAAGATCAAACAGACCATTATCTTTCAAGTCAACGTTAACTCTTTTGCTAAAAACAAGCAACACTGCTGCTGTAAAGGGGCTGTGCACTGCATGGTTTACCTCCCCAGTAATGGCCCAAGGGCTCTGGGAAGATGTAGGAATATACAGGACGCAGTCCACACCAGCCAGAGGCCGGGGACAAGCTTGCTATCCAACGTCATGGAACGGGACTGTACGTCACAACACCGAAGTGCTACGCTCCCATACGCCACACGGACAGAGCCACATGAGAGGCATCTCACAGGATGTCCACGTTGGAAAAATAAAGTAATTCATTCTAAATGCTAAGAGTCAGAGTTAAACACTTTAAAAAGAAATATTTAAAAAAAAAAAAAAAAAAAAAAAAAAAAAAAAAAAAAATCATTTGCCAGACATTTAGTTCCATCGCTAAGACTTAAACTGTTATTGCTTTGCAGATTTGGCATAAATTTACATTTTAAAATTGACAGGATTTAATTGGACTAATGCCTTTGTGCTGAAGCACAAGAGAATAAAAATGAACCCAGTTAAATCTTTATTTAAAAAAATAAAAATGATTTAAAGCAGTTAAAATTAAATACCAGGAACAGTTTTAGCATCAACAGTGCAACATGAAAAAAAAAATCAATAAATAAATTGTTTTGAAAGGAGTCTTACCTGTGCAATGAACACCACGTGCTTGCCACTGAATTTCTTCTCCAGCTCACGCACAAGCCTCACCTGGATCTTCTGGAAAGATTTCAGCTGGGGCACAGGCACAAAGATGATGATGGCTTTCCTGCTACCACCAACCTCGATTTCCTGACAGAAAGAGGAGTAGAGCTAACTTACAAATGCATACAATCATAAATTCAGCAAGTTAGACAATTTACATTTAAGGTTATGTGCACTGCATGGTTTACCTCCCCAGTAATGGCCCAAAGGGCTCTGGGAAGATGTAGGAATATACAGGACGCAGTCCACACCAGCCAGAGGCCGGGGACAAGCTTGCTATCCAACGTCATGGAACGGGACTGTACGTCACAACACTGAAGTGCTACGCTCCCATACGCCACACGGACAGAGCCACATGAGAGGCATCTCACAGGATGTCCACGTTGGATATGTTAACTGTCAGTTTAAACAGCTGTTACTTTGATACTGAAATTAAAGTGTCCCATTATACTTGTGAATATTTCCTTTATTATTATTATTTTTATTATACCCTTTATTTTACCAGGAAAGACACATTAAGATTAAAAATCTCTTTTACAAGAGTGTCCTTGCCAAGATTAGGCAGTACACAAGTCACAGGAGTCCAACAGACAAAAAACTATTTAAAGTTAACATGAATCACACTGTCAACCATTCAAAACATCTACAAACCTTTAATGGAATGAATTGTTGCTATTGCTAGAGAGAACTAGTTTAGAACACCAATGAGCGGTTAGGAACTCCAGTTTAACTTGTGTAACAAATTTAATTTAGTGCTGGGCGACTAAAGCAAAAATCATGCACGCTGCCATTAAATCGGATTAAGTAACCATTAGAAATTAACTTTATTTTCAGATGGTGCAGCATTTACTACAAGCCATAATTCACAGCACAAAAAAAAAAAAAACATTCATAAAAATCAGATGACTTTAAAATTAAAGATGTGCATGAAAATTGCAGCTTTTGCTGAATAGTCACTGTATTATTATAACTGAGCCCCAATTGTCACTATCATTATAACTGAGCCCCGACTTAATGTCAGCTTATGGTCTGCATTATCTGCCCAAAAGCATTATGCATGACTCAAACATCTTAATTGGCAAGTAAAAAAAAAAAAAAAAAAAAAAAAAAAAAAAAAAAAGTTACTTAAACTTAACGCAACAATGATGAAAAAAAGGACTAAAGCAGAAAAAAGAATCTGCATGTGCACATTTAAAACAGTATTTAAAAGGTTGCATGCAGAATGTACTCCATTTGGATGCATAAGCTCAAGAGCAGGTGTTAAAGAGATGTAAAAAGAAATTGCTAAGTTTTAGAATCTCAGAAATGTGAGATTCATGTTTTACCCTCCACATTAGATGCTCTACTCCAGGGATGTCAAGGTCAGTTTCTGGAGGGCCACAGGCCTGCACAGTTTAGGTTCAACCCTGTTTTAATACATTTACCTGCAGATTTAAAACAAGTCTGAAAGACTTAACTGTTTGATCAGGTGTGTTTAGAGTTAAAGCTAAACTGTGCACAGCTATGATCCTCCAGGAACAGAGTTTAACACCTGTGCTCTATTCTATTGCAAAAAACATACTCTATTGACTTACCAAAAAAGAAAGCTTTAAATAAGTATAATGGGGCACTTTAATAACAATTGCACAAACCTGAAGGAGGATGAAACATGATCTTTACCTTAGCAGCAGTGATGTGGAGCTCCCTCAGCTGAGCCTTCAAATCAGAGTTCATCTCCAGCTCAAGAAGAGCCTGCAAAAAAACAAAACTTGCTGTAAAAATGTTCCAAAAAAGGCTATAGACGCTTGTAGATCACACACGAAAGACTGGAGATTCTGGTAAATGATACCTGGGAAATGCCAGACTCAAACTCATCTGGCTTTTCGCCATTCGGCTTCACTATTTTCGCGCTGGTACTGAACATGGCCTGTGTCTGAAACACACAAATACACTGATTAGAATGACAAAGAGTCACAGTAATTAAGTTGAAGCAAAAGTTCACCAAAGTGAAACTCTCCATCATGTTACTTAAATCAAAATGACCTTCCTTAGCTATTAAAAAAAAAAAAAAGAGGACTCCTAGGAAGTGACAGCTTCAGTCTCGTTTACTTTCAAGTTCTATATTCTTAAGGAATAGCGCGCTGTCAGGTTATACAATGAAAAACGCTTCTATTAGTAATTCGCAAAAAAAAAAAACAACTGTCAAAAGAGTTAAAACCGAACATTAACCTCCGACTTAACTATCCTATCTTGATCTGTCCTCAGTAATTCAAAAGCTGTCGTTAAGCAGTCTTGGCTAACTCCAAGTGTTCCTAGCATGCTGCTAGCATTTACTTACTAATGCAGAATCACTAAAATACATTACAGGCGCGCAACAGTTATACATTTAGACCTTACGTATACATTATTTTACTTGTTAGCATGTCCAAGCCATCCAAGAGCAGCACATGGGCCATGGCAATACTGTAGTACATACACGTCTGCTAGCACATCCTAAATGTGTACATTTCTATGTCTAATACAGCCATCCATCCTCTAACACAGGCGCATCTAACGCATCCCTGTGTAAACATCATTTAAAGCTTAAACAAATAGACGAATGTTACTTATTTTAGACATTTTTGTGTTAAATCCACATAGCTGGGCACATTCAGTAGACTCACCTCTTTCAACGACGGCCTGGGAAGAGGCCGTACTCTCGCGAGAGGCCGGTAAAAGCGCGTTGCCCTGTTGCATGACGGGAACTGCTGAGGGCAGAGAGCGCCTGTTCATAATCAGTTTAGCAGGTCTTTTTATTTCGAATTTAGTTACATCAAATCCCTCCTTTATCTCCTATTGGAACTACCTTCTCATTATGTTAAATGGTCGTATGTTTTGTCACGTCCTCGGTTTTCTTTACAAATAAATCTAAGGAAACATTTGATCAAATAATTCAAATATTTATTTGTTTATTTTTGCAGGAATGTAGACGTGACTTTAACTGGTCTTGCTCTTGAAATTTCTTCTGAATCTGTTGCTCACGTTTGGTATTTGTTTTATTTCGGCTAGAATAAAAACAGTTTAAAAAAACATTTTAAAATAAAAATTATTAGCTCCTTCAAGCTATATTTTTCCCGATAGTCTACAGAACAAACCATCATTGTATAATAACTTGCCAAATTACTCTAACCTGCCTAGTTAACCTACTTAACCTAGTTAAGCATTTAAATGTCACTTTAAGCTGTATAGAAGTGTCTTGAAAAATATCCAGTAAAATATCATTTACTGTCATCATGGCAAAGATAAAATAAATCAGTTATTAGAAATAACTTATTAAAACTATTATGTTTAGAAATGTGTTGAATAAATCTTCTCTCTGTTAAACAGAAATTGGGGGGGGGAAATAAACAGGGGGGCTAATAATTCAGGGGGGCTAACAATTCTGACTTCAACTGTAAATTTATTTATTTATTTGCATATTTATTTATGTTTTATTTCCTAGATGGTTGCGGCTGGAAGGGCATCCGCTGTGTAAAAACGTGCTGGAATAAGTTGGCGGTTCATACCGCTGTGGCGACCCCGGATTAATAAAAAGGGACTAAGCCTAAAAGTAAATGAATGAATGAATGGATTTATGTTTTATTTATGCAAGAATTTATGCATTTATGTACTCATTTAATTAATTGCGTATCTATTTATTAATTGTTTTTGCAGGTTTCGTCCTCCATATTTTGGGAATGTCCTTTTGTTAGATCATTCTAGACTAATGTGAATTTATTATCCTTTTGGTTGTTATTCTAAAGAAAAAGATTCTGTATAAACATGTTATTATTGGAAATGTATAATAAAGTAAACCCCAGTTTAGCATTTTCAGACAAGCAAACTTTACTTAAATACCATTTCAACGTTTATTTACTTAGTCTGTGGTCTAGAAACAGAAAGCTGTTAAACCTCTTAAATGTATGCTTTTAATATTGTGGTTTAATATGTATTTCACTGATAATTGACTAGAAATAAAAATACTGCTCGTTTACCTTGGACTGCATTGTTTGACTCACTAAAATCGGTTCAATCGAGTCATTTATTTCGAACAACGAAACAATCAAACAAAGCCGTTTGTTTGTTTCCCTAAAAAGAGTCGGCTCTTAAGAGTCATATCTTAGTGAATCGATCTGTACTGTATGTTTTCGAATCCCTAAATAGCGGTTTTGTCTTTAGACCACATATTTATATATGGTCTATTACGCCTCTGCTCTGCTAATTAATGACTTAAATATAATGAGATTTAAAAGCTGTTTTTATTGTGTTATCTCAGGGTCTACTCCACTTCAGTTGGTGGCGCAAATGCTCCAAGAAAAAAGCAATAACGCAAGAAGAAGCAGTCGTTTGTCAGCTGACCGCTAGCTTAGAGGTAGGAGGTGCACACATGTTTCAGAAACTCATATCAACTAAATCCATTACGTTTCTGTCAGGTTGATATTATAATGGCTGACATGAAATCCCACGTAAAATGGATGCTATAATGTTTTCTCTGCGCTGAGCAAGAGACCAAGTTATGCTGAGATTGCCTGGCTTTTTGAATGTCGTACGCAGAACTCTATGCAACGCCGCAGAAGAGATGGGCAAGAAGGGAAACTTTTTCTACGCTGTGAGGAAAGGATTTAAACCCGGAGTGTATCAGACATGGTGAGCCTTAAGCTGTGTAGCCATATGCTCTATTTACTAGTATTATTGACGCGTGTTGCATTGCGTGACTATATATCGCATGTTTATTACAGGGAGGAATGTAAACATCAAGTGGATAAATTCCCTTCTGCAAGTTTTAAGAAGTTTGCCTCCGAACAGGATGCTTTGGACTTTGTGAGGAGCCATTCCGATGCATCATCCTCTGCGGGAGCAAATGGTAATATCAAGGCTGTTACTTTTCTTTTAATGACAGATTTACTATACTGAGACAGTTCATAAAAATACATTATAAGGTTTTTTAGGTGTATAAGAAGAAGAATCCAGAAGAGATGGGTGCGACCTACAATCCTTTTAGATAGCAAATGTGTCATATATCAGGAATATCTCATCACAAATATGTATCCACCCTCACAGATATTAAAGTGGCTCATTGTGCTTTATCAGATATGACCTTGTTGTAGTGTGTGAATGTAAAAGCTCTGCAACATTAAAGGTCAAAATGCATGATACATTGAGTTATTGCCTTCCAGTTAAAGAACCTACTCTAATTGCCTGAAACAAGTTGTCAGTAATGACCCGTTTCCACTGAGTGATCCGGTACAGTATGAGTCGGTACGCTTTTATGCCCATTTCCATGATCTAAGTTCAGCTTTTCCTACACAAGCCTATGTATAATTGCAACAAGTTTGGTTTTATTTGGCTGTTTGATACTAAATGTTATCTTTGGCCTCAGATGTTGTAGCTGAGGCCTGGAAGAGTTTTTTAGTTGTCTACATGTCAATGTTTTTGCTGCTAAATGAAGTATTTCATTTCCTCAAATATGTTTTCATTTTTATGGACTCTTTTCACATTTCTGGGTTTCTCAGAAGCGCAAGTCGCCATAATTGGGTTAACCTAGAGAGCAGTGAATGGGAGAGTAGGAATTTCAATTAGCTGAAATAACTTCACAATAATGTTATCACAACTTTCAGAAGAAAAAAAATGTGATAACAGCAGCCAGAGGAGAAAACAATGTAAAATTGACTCTCCCGGCCATAGACGCTGCATTAGAAACTACTTGCTTAAGCGTTAACTATTTTTTTGTAATTTGATTGCAAGATGATAAAATACAAAGTTTAGGTTTATAAATGTACTTGTGTTTATTTAACAATCAAAATATTCAAATATTATTTATGAAGATGATTAATGTTAAATGCGTTATCATCGTCTTGTGGAAAAGGGTCGGTTTACAATATTTTTTATTTAATGTGGACCACATTTAGCATTTTTTGATTGGTTCATCTTTATAGGACTCATGTTAAAGAATCTATTCTAAACATGTCAGAAACATTTGTATTTTCCTATAGAAAAAGCTTTTGTCCATTTCTGATCAATTTCTCGAATTTTATTGGGTATTTTTGTTTTTTATTTTGAGGGGAGGGTCTGTAGACATTCGACAGGTATTCATATGGGTATTTTCTAAACTTTCAATCTAATATTGTAAAATAACTGTGTAGTTTGCATATGAATGGCTATTTTCTTTCGGATATGGATGTTTTGTATTTGCACCTGTATTTAGTGTCTGTAATTGATTTGACAAAAATTGATTCTTGATACCAAGCGTAAACAGGGCCTTCTTTGAAGTGGCTCAACTTACTTAATTAATTACACACAATTTCCTTTAGAATTTTATTAAAAGATTTGGTGATTAATATCATGCCGATGGTCTCTTTAAAATATACATCATAAATTAAAATGGATCAAAATATCTGCATTGACTATTTATAAAGATCATATGAAAAGCTGTAGTCAATCTACATTTTAAACCAACACATGCAAGTAATATTCCATAATTACCAGATAAGTTGTATTCATATACAGTATTGATAGTGTGCTAAAACATTCAGTAATGTACTGCAAGTGATATCTAATTTATATATATTTTTTTGCATTTAAGGATGTGAATTAGAGGTTCTGCCTCCTAGAAATGTGCCTTGTTCCTCAATGGCTGTGTCTTTTGGAAGTAAAAGGACCCATGATGAGACTGAGGATGAAGGACCGTCCTGTCCGAAACGAGTAAAGCTCATTGAGGTCCCACAGCCAAAGACCGGAACAACTAGCAGTGATGGATTTACATACATGGGTAACATTCAGTTGAAAACAGAAGTTTACATGCACTCTAAAAAAAGAAACATAACCATTTTTTTTAATAACATCTGATGGTAAATCATACTAAACGTTTACTATTTTAGCTGTTAGGATTACCTAAATCATTTACATTTGCTAAATACCAGAATAATTAGAAAATAGAAAAGTTTCTAGACAGTCAAAAGTTTACTTACATTTCCTTGGTATTTTTTAGCTTTGCTTTTAAGCTGTATAATATTGGTCAAATGTTTAGGGTATCCTTCCAAAGCTTTTCACAATAGTTTGAATTTTGGCTCATTCCTCCTGACAGAATTGGTGTAACGGAGTCAGATTTGTTGGCTGTCTTGCTCGCACAAGCTTTTTCAACTCTGCCCACACATTTTCTACAGGATTGAGTGCAGGGCTTTGTGATGGCCACTTCAAAACATTCACTCTGTTGTCCTTAAAGCACATTTTAACTAATTTGGCAGTATGCTTAGGGTCATGGAAAACCCATTTGTGGCCAAGTTTTAATTTTCTGGCTGATGTCTTGAGATGTTGCTTCAGTATTTCTACGTAATGTTCTTTCTTCATGATGCCATCTATGCTGTCAAGTGGACCAGTCATGACATGACATCATGACATCAAAACATGATGCTGCCACCCCATACTTTACAGTTGGGATGGTGTTCCTAGGCTTGTAAGCTTTTCCCTTTGTCCTCCAAATGTAACTCTGGTCATTATGGCTGAACAGTTCAATCTTAGTTCCATCAGACCACAGGGCATGTCTCCAAAGATTCTTTTTCCCAGTGTACTTTAGTAAATTTTAATCTGGCTTTTTTGTTGATTCTGGCTTGTTAATTTTTCCATGTTATCACACAAGGATTCTATTCTACAGTTGTACCTCCAATTAACTCAAATGTTTATTATTAAATTAGTCAATCAGAATCTTTCAAAACCTTGACAACATCGAGCTTTTTGAGGGGCATAATAATCTTATTGTTTGTAAACTTGACTTTCAAGAAAAGTTATAACAATTTCTCAAAAAATATATCTCATTATTCTGCTATTAAGCATAACAGAAACAAATTTGATAATTCTAACTTTACCTAAATAAGATAAAGTTTAGTCACATTAACATCTGACTTTTTTAATGGTTATGTTCCTTTTTATACAGTGTATGTAGACTTCTGGTTTCAACTGTACATGCACTATATCGTGCTGATATCTATTATTTTAGAAAGGGTAAAGTGGATTAAATTGTTATTCAAAACTTTATTACACATAGTAAACCAATTATGACATTGTAAGGTTTTTAATTGCAAACTTTTGGCCAAAGTAAAATGAAATAGCCTCTTTTGTAATGTTTTTCAGGTGATGCTGTAGTGGTGTACACTGATGGCTGCTGCTCAGGCAATGGTAAACATGGAGCACGTGCAGGAATTGGTGTATATTGGGGTCGAGATCATCCACGGTAAATCATCACTTAACAGCAAAAATGTATTAATAATGAAATACTTTTTTATTGTCAATGTTTTATTTTAAATTGATTTAACTTCTAATTGTTTGCTCAGTAATGTGGCTGAGAGGCTTCCAGGGAGGCAGACCAACCAAAGAGCAGAATTACAGGTAAGAATAGTGAGGTGTTCTCATACAGTATTTGTTCCTGTACGCTGCTGTTGATAAAAATATCATTACTTGTTTCATCACAGGCTGCTTGCAAGGCACTTGAGCAAGCCAAGGAAATGAATTTTAAAAAGGTTGTGCTATACACGGACAGCAAGTTCACTATTAATGGTATACACTCCCTGCTTTTTTGTCTGTCCATTTACACTGTAAAAGATTGCTGTGATTTTTTAAAATTATTATTATTATTATCATTATTATTATTTATTTATTAAAATTTTTTTTCCTTTTTTTTCAGAAACTTAAAATTCAGCATTAGAATATGTATTAACGTGGTGTTTTATGTTAAAGTCAGTGTTTATGCATGACAAAGTGATATGATTAATTAACTTTGATATTTAAGTAGAAATATTGTTATAAAGTTGTGAAATATAGAGTAATTATTAATAATTAATTGCTGCAAATTTTTACAGTGAATTGAAGATGAGATAATATTTTAGTGCTTGCAACAAATTATTAAAGTGATTTTTTAAAAATTATTTAATACAAGTGTCATTAAAGTACTTTAATGTAATTCAATAAATAAAATATCATAGAAATAATGTAATAATCAGTGTAAAAAATAGGTTTTTATAAAAATAAAACAACCTGCTTAATCTGACCAGCACTTTTTAATATATATAAATGAATACTGATCATAAATAATATATATATATATATATATATATATATATATATAATGTATATATATATATATATATATATAATATATATATATATATATATATATATATATATATATATATATATAATATATATATATATATAAAACTCCCATTCAGTCTTTGAGTTTCTTGTGGTGCACTGTTTATTTATTTTTTATTTTTTGGCTTGTCAAAGGTGTCACAAGTTGGGTAAAGACCTGGAAGTCTAATGGCTGGAGACTTAAAAGTGGTGGGGTCATAATCAACAAGGACGACTTTCAACAGCTGGATAAACTAAATGCAGAACTTGATGTTGTATGGGTAGGTTTATCTGACTAACCATGGCTAACCAGTTTCTGCTTTTCATTGTGTATTATAAGTATAGTGTCCCAACCTTGGTGTATAAATATTCTTTTTTATTTTTATTTAAAGATGCAGCTCTACATTTGTCAGTTCATCACTGTTCATCAATAATGAAATGTCTCACAAATGCTTGTCACAAAAAACATTTAATCTGCAGAATTGCAGTTCAAGCAAATGGCAAAAACCGCTAAATTTCGCTATCTGTAGTCCCTAATAATAACTCCTGTATAGCAGTCCCACAACATTCTGTTCCTGATGACACTGGAATACCCTGTCAGAAAAGTCTAGTAGCTAAGAATGAGCTCCTTACAGTGTCTGCTAGAATGCTATTGTTGTTTTTCTGTGTTTACATAGATGAATATGGCCATGGTGTAAACGCACAGTACAGTTACGATCTTATTGCCCAATTATATTGTTATAACATAATATATGCCTTTAGTGATTTCCTGAAGATAAATACCAAGAAATAACACAAATGGAATAACTACAGCAGTCACGATCATCGATCTCATACGAAGCAAAAGATCGCGAGAACATATGATGACGTGAAAAAGTGGCCCTTTTAAAAGTACTCAAGAGTAGTGAGAATTACACGGTAGTGAGAATTACACGGAGATCGTCTGTCCTTCCATTCTTCATTCGTTCCATTTAATGATTGTTTAAGACTGTTTGACGATTTTTAGTCATCATACAGTCTACATCCTTCATTTTCTCATCGGTGACATGCAGTCTATAAAAAGTCTCTGGGTCATTGCGTGTAAAGACTTTAGACATCGTCTTGGACATTTTTAATGCTTCCAAAAGGTTTGCTGCATTTATAAAGCGCCCATGTCTTGAGGTAGTTTAGTATGTTTAGATGTGATTTATTTTGTGTAATTTGATTGGAAAGGATTCACAGGACGGATTTTTCTACTCTAGCCCACCACCATGGACAATAAAGAAATAGTGACTACATGTTAAAGGAAGGTATTGGAGTTAAAGTACTGATACAGCTCTAAAAATGTACTCAAGGGAAAGTAAAAATACACATTTTTTAAACTACTTAGTAAATTACAATTCCTGAGAACAACTACCCAATTACAGTAGTTTGAGTATTTGTTTATTTTGGTACTTTACACCACTGGTTAGAACATTTTTAGGACAGTGTCTCAAACATCAGAACTCTTTCTGCATGCTTCTTTATGTTTTTATTGATAACATACTGTTATGCATTAAAACAAATGTCTTGTATGGTCTGTGAAATAACTGCAAATAAATAAATGTACCATCCGTCTTATTTTTCATTTCTAGATGCACATTCCAGGTCACGCTGGATATACAGGCAATGAGGAGGCAGACAGACTGTCTAGAGAGGGAGCTGCAAAACCCACTTGTTAGGCTGCTGCTACTGACATCTTTTTATAATAATAATAAACTAATTTAGGTGGCTAGGACAGGTTTGTTTACCTTCTTGTTAATGCACTTTTTCAGTTTTTTTGTGCTAGTGCTGTAATGTTGCAGACAACACTAGACACGTGTCATCTTTTTTTCCAAAAAGCTAAGCTTATCTGAAACGTTTGTGTTTTTTGATTGTTTTGTCAATTAAATTGTGCTTTATTTTGTCCATGATATTGATTCCTGGTACTTATTTTTTCCATCTCAGATACTGTTGCTGCCTATAACCACTTGGATTTTTATTTTAGCGTGTATTACAGATGTGCTGCTATTAGTTTTGAAAGTGATTAATACTGTCACCATAATGTATTATTGATTCTTATGTTAAGTTTGAATGCATCATCTTTTTCATATTATCAGAAGGTTTTTTCAGTTGTGATACGTTCACAAGAGCAGTTATGCTGAAAAGCCTCGACACTAACAGTAGGTGTCACTGCAGTTCACGCAAAAAGACTTGATGGACTACAAAGCAGATGGATTTAAAAATATAGCTATGCTTTTAGGTAATTTGAATTTTGCAATTGGAATTTGCTTACTAAAAACCTAATGGATATTCTAATTAAGCCTTTTAGACAAGAGCCTTTTCTTATCGCTGAGGATGACTTTATCCAGTATCATCTGATTTTGCTCTAAAATGAACATTTAAACCTCACAGATTTATTTGCACAGAAGGATTTAAAAGTGTATTCTACCTTAAAAGTAAAGTTCACCTAAAATGTTTAAATTCTGTCATCATTTACTCTCCTTTAACTTAGGGAGACTTTTAAGAATAACATATTAAGGTATTTTGAGGAAAGCTAAAAACCTGTAACTATTGAATTCCATAGCAGTTTCTTCTACTGTTAATGTCAATGTTACAGAATTTCAGCTTTCTTTAAAATATTTTCTTTTGTGTTCAACAGAATAAAGAAATTCAAATGTTTATAACCACTTAGTTGAGGATGAATAAATGAGTAAAGTAAAACTTTTGACATAGGGAGCGGATATATCCTAAGTTAGAAGCCTGACAGCCCTAGCTTGTGGTGCATGTTCAGAATTTCATATATTGTCTTTCTGTTGTTATTTTCCCCAAGATTTATATAGCAGTCCTGTTCAAGTCTCTGCTTTAAGCCGGTGTCTAGACAAAGTCTTGAGTGTTGTCTTAAATACAGATAACCTGCACAGCAGGCTGAGAAGGAATGAAGGCTTCTTCTCTTTCATGCAATAAACCGAGGTGAGAATATCAACATCAGGGCTTCAGCACAGTCTGTCCTGACCTTCGCTTGCAGGACTCGGCTCCTCTGAATTCCCGCTGAGATCCAAGACCTTCAGAGCAGAATGTACGAACAACAGTTATAGGTCAGAAGACTCCGTTTGTCCTTGTCTGGTGAAAACAATGAGGATTTAGTGCTTGTAACCTTTCAAAGCTTCAAGTAAGTCCTTGGAAGTATTTTGGGGATATGAAGCTGTTAACTGTCTCGAGGAATGTAGATTGGCTTGTTTTTTAATATTTATGGAAGTAAGCTGTTCCAACTGGTGACGTTTAAATATCATCTGAAAGCCGTTTGATAATCAGACTCGGTGATAATTTGTTGGAGATTAAGGGAAGGAGGCACACCAAAAAAAAAAAAAAAAAAAAAAACACCCCATCATTACAGCACATCTGGTCTGTGCTCTCTTCAAAAATCATGTCACAGCTGACTCGGGCCCTCAAATCTGGAAGGAAGTGTAGGGGAATTTCCACTAATGAATCCAACAATCACACGATGAGGCCTCTTTGTGCAGGGACTTCAATGGAAGCCACATTCGGAGCAGGCACAGCGAGTCACAATCAAAGGCACCGGCAAGCCGTTACCACAGGAGCAAAGCTGCAGCTTGTAACCGAACAGACATCTGTTTCTATGACAGCTGTCTGGAGCGGCATCAGCCTAACTAACTGCTGCCTCAGAACTAGTCTGACTGTTTGATATCTCCTGCGATAAAGACAGAGAAGATTCTGTCACAAACCCTCGCCGCTTCTTGTTGTGATGCAGTAATGTGAAGAGGGAAGTTTGCGTTTGTGTTTATTTTGTTCCTCTTTGAAGCTCCTGGAATCAGAGGCTGCAAAATAGTGGAGGGGAGAAGAAACACCCGAGAGAAGTAAACATATGGAGCAAACTAACCCCGGTGAGCTCGACGAGAAGCTACTGCAACGAGTACAGTAAAGACAAACAACTTAAGTACGATTTAAGGGAAAATTAGGAAATATTTATTATTTAAATTCCAAGGGGAGCTGTAAACGTTCAAATAGCCTACTCATTGTAAAATATGGCGTCCAGATGGAAGTCAGATTTTGGTGTCATGTGCCCATTTTATGTGCCAATGAATGAACCCACTTTAAAAAGACAATGCAAAGCCCAACCTGCCTACATACCCCTGCTAGTTACCTGAGCAAACGTACATGCATCATTTGTACCAACAGAGGGCGTTACACGGGTTTATCGTGTGCTACCTAAGCAGATCAGCTACCGGTTAGCAGCACCAGTTAATTTACCATAAGTGACGGATTTACCATGCTAGTTTGAAGGTATGCACACATGCCTAATTTTGGGGCAAAGTTACAGTGTTTGTATGGACGATGTAACTAGAGGCGAAAAGGGTGCCAGAATATTTAGCAGAATTTGAACACAATTTTAAACATTTATGAAGTCTCCATTATCAAAATGCTGTTGATTTATATTGTTACCACAAGTTAAACCACAATACTGTGGTAATTGTTAAATGAACCATGGTTATGCTGTTAACATACTTTAACCATTGTATTTGTGTAACATTTTGGTCCTAACAAAAAGGGATCGAAGTCCTGCAGAGTGTAGTTCCAGCACTGCTTCAACACACCTATCTCAATTAGTTTGTTCAGCTGTTTAATTAGGGTTGGAACTAAACTGTGTAGAGCTGTGGCCCTCCAGGAACTGAGTTAGTATATTTTACATTTCCCTCTCACGTAACAAAGCCTACTACGTGCAGCAAACATGACTTTGAATGAAAAATAATCACCTAACCAATTACACTTGCAACAAAGAATGCTACTTTATTTGTCTACGTATGTTCTCAGAAATGTTTTAAATAAAATTAGCATAAATAATCATTTACATTTTTTACTCTATTCAGATTATATTTTTGCATTCAAGATCTTTCTGTAACAACCAGAACTAACTCCCATGTATTTTCCCCCAAAAATCTATTCCCCTTGATTGCACTTCACAATATGGAAGAAATGATCTCCCTACATCTGTTACAATGCATCATTAAGTCCTTTGAAAATTGGCCCCATTTGCTACACTTGTAACTGCCTTTCTGTAACTTCCATTTTAACATTACAAATCTAAATCATTTCTGTGGTATTGATATTATTCCACAAATATTCAGTGTATTGAGCTTGAATCTGTATAAATTCAATTTTAAAGGCAAGACACAGTCAAAATCACTTTTTAAAAATAATATTTTTAGTGATGCACCTGTCAATTCTGAGATGCTTGGCTTTCTTTTAAAATGTTATGAATCTAATTTATTTATATCCATATTCTGAAAGTTTTCACAGAGGTGTATGTTTGTTCATACATAATTTGCCTGTTCAAACAGAACATTTTATCCTATAAAAAATGTGAAAATATATTTCTAATTCTGCCTATTTGAAAATTTTGAATTATGGAGTGGGAAAAAACCCTCAAATGAAAAACCTTGAAAAAACTTTGACTCTAATATATTCAGAAATATTAAACCTCAATTTTGAACCTGACTTCATGCAATATTAAAATTTTGGGTTTTACAAAATATTCAAATTAGCCAATTTTTATTGAAATGATGCTTCATTTGCATATTTAAAGATAATTTTTGAAAAATATGAGACACAAAACGTGTTTGCAATTCTTAATATAGTCGATTGACAAGGAAAGTATGATGATAACTATTAGTTTTAATTTTACCCCATTCACCTGCAGTGTCTTTGCCTTTAACAGGCGAGGATAGTTCTGCATGCTTCAGACGCCCACCTGGTGGTCTGCTGTTTGGAAGGGCAAGACCTGCCCGCAGAGAGAGGGGCTTGACAAGGTGAGCTCCAGCACTGCGGCACTGCAGTTTTCATTCTCATTCTCTCTCTCTCTCTATCCACCCTCCCTGTCTCTCAGACACTACACCTGCTTTAGGAGCTTTCCCAAACCCTCACCACAACTGAGATACACCAGCATAGCCAGCGTTTGATAAGCACCGCATCGTCTTAAATGCACGTTAAAACGCAAAGTCCTTGACCCAAATAGTGCAGATGGCCATGCTCTGAACTGCCACTTAAAATCAGTGAGCTCAGGAGAGTCTGCCGCGTCGCCTGGCCTTCAGGCTGCCTCAGACTGTGTGCGTATGAGACTGACTCATCAAGCTACCAGAGAACTCAATTTAATCCCACAGCAGGAGATTCATTCTCTTAAAGCTAAAGTTCTCCATCACGTGCTCGGCCGCTGCACCTCCTCACATGTGACGGAAGCGAGGCAGACTCGCTGGATTTTTAATGATACTTTCGGCAAGCAGCTTTACGAGTAATTTTTTGTTTTTTTTTGCATTTGAGAAGAGAAAAACAAAAGGGAGAACATCTGTGTCTTTGTCACACTTCTTTGCACCAAAAAAGTTGTTAGATCATTAAGAGAATCTTTCTTTCTTTCTCTATTATTTTTTTGTTTTCTTTCTTTCTTTCTTTCTTTCTTTCTTTCTTTCTTTCTTTCTTTCTTTCTTTCTTTCTTTCTTTCTTTCTTCTGTACAGTGCATTCGGAAAGTCTTCATAGCGCTTCACTTTTTCCAAATTGTTTCGTTACAGCCTTATTCCAAAATAGATGAAATGCATTTATTTCCTCAAAATTCACACAATACCCCATAATGAGAATGTAAAAAAAAATTTTTTTGAAATTGTTGCAAATTTATAATAATAACCTGAAAAATCACATGTACATTAGTATTCACGGCCTTGGCCGTGAAGCTCTAAATTGAGCTCAGGTACATTCTGTTTCCACTGATCATTCTTAAGATGTTACAGCAGCTTAATTGGAGTTCACCTGTGGTACATTCAGTTAATTAGATATGATTTGAAAAAGCATAAAACAGTAAAGCTGCGTCCCAAATGGCACACTATACACTATGCACTCATGCACTATGTACTTATGCACTTACAC